CGTCAGATAGATACTGGAAGAAGTGTTAAAATTCAGGATGATGACAAAATCAGAGGCAAACAGAGCTTGGGGAAAGCAACTGGAGAAGGCGGATGAAAAGAACAATGTGCCGCTTCTGCTAGAAGTGTGTTTCACATATGCTAGTTTCTAGGGAGAAAGCACTAATCCCGTATACAGAGGCCACCTCAGCTGCTCCCCTCTTCATCGGAACAATTCATGTCAAAAGTTCCTCTAAGGACAGTTTTTGCCAACCAGCTGTTCTTCTCTCATTGTAGGAAGTCACCTCCTTTGCTCTTTGGCTTCCTGGACCTCCAAATGAGTTATGAATAGCCTTAAGCTAATGATACTCTAACAGTGATACCACACTAAGAGAGGTGGTAAAAGTATGCTGAGAAATTACTGTCTGGTAGGTTACTTGGCCTATTCATCACCTTCTCAAGCAGCATAGCTTTAAGAACATTCTCTCTGTAAGAGCCAATTTTAGTACACAAGCTACAAAGTTTTCAGTTTTACAAGAGCGCATTTTTCCCAAGCACCCAAATATCTGCTGAACACACATGAAACAGGGTAACAGCAGAATACATGTGTATTTTTCTTAAAGACATTAATCTACTGTTATAACCAATGACAGCTATGCAATGATAGGCACAGAAGATCAGGCAACTGCATAACAACCTGAATTTTGCAAAGTGCCAGCACACACGGCTGAATAACTTCACCTGCACTTGGTAATATGCTGCTTTGCTTTTCTGTTTTAGCTACTGTCCTGTTCCAGAAAAACGTGCTGCAGGATATCAGTTATATCCTTTCCATTATGCATTCAGCTGGACATTTCTTGACTTAAGAAAAAATGTATCCAAGAGGTGAAAATGCCTATTAAAGGAACTATGAAAACCTTCTGCTAGTTCTTACAGCTTGTCAATCTACCACTTAGCACAATTCTAGTAAGGAGTAACTCTGTTTCTAAAAATGCTGTATACAAAAGTCACATAATGCAAATTTATTCTACACATCTTCTTGAAGTGACAAAAGGATAAACTGTAAATACAAAGATCAAGGATTTGGGTTTTTTTTTTTAATATGCATGTCCTATACTCCTGGAAAAAGTCAGCTTTAGCTTTATATTACCAAGATGAACCAAAAACTATTGGTTTGATTTCTGGAAAATTATATAACGATGGTCATGCAAGTTTATCTTACGGAGAATCAGGAATTTTCGTTACAAACGGGTTAAAGTTTGACAAATCTTAGGGGTTTTTTTCCAAAAATACAATTTTGGCAGCATTTGAAGTACAGGTAAATAGTAATATTAAAACCTAACAAACCTGAACTTGCTGGACTTATTTAGCAACCATTTGTATTCACCAAACTTTAGATCACAGAGCCGCAATGTTGATTGTTGCTACTATTAAAAAATACCTTTCATCCAGGAGCTGTGGAATTAATCTTGGTTTATGCTGAACTGCAAACACATGCATAGAGCATGAACCAGGAAAATGTGTATTACCTGTTCTCCTGTACAAGCACAAGTAAAAGTTGCTTAGCATTTTTCAGAAGGCCCATGCTCTTGTCCAGCTCTCTTGCACATGCCTTTGGGCAGCTTCAGCAACCACTGAAATTAATGCTCTCAAGAGCAGCAATGGAGTAATGAATACTTTAACAAACATTAATACTTTAACTGTGCATATACATGCCTTCAAGCATCTTGAGTCTCTTTCAAATTAACCTCAACTGCACTGTTACACTTCAATTACTCTGTTCTGTTAAATTTTGATCTGTACTTTATACTAAGTTTAATTTCATAATTAATTTAGTATTTTAAATAGACCTCATTTCAGATAAAATTTAATTTATACAGGAAGGTTAGATGCTGAACAGTAACTCCAGTACAGTACACAGTAGAAACATTACTGCTTCTTAGTGACTATGGTTCACTGCTTCTACAGGACTTGAATGTCTTCCACACAGTGAGCTCAGCACTGTGGGTGGGTATACTCAGACTCTTTGTTTCCCTATTTTATGCATCACAGGCATGTCTTTCGGGAGCCTGCAAAGAAACTGCACACTCACCTGCTGCCCTCTCCTCTGCCTTTTTCACTGGCTAGCTAAAGCTGTTAGTGCTTATGGAGGAAGCAATATTACAATGCTGGCAACCAAAAGCCATTTGTACAGAAAGATTTTCTGACACTACTTGCAGACTAAGCACAACCTCAACAAACAGACTTGCTTTGTTCGTTTGAAGTCTGACTAGTTCTTGCCAAGTAGATTTCCTCAAAGTAACTGTATTGTTTATTCCTGCCAATTCTAGAATCATGAGGAAAGGAATGAAAAGGGAAAAGATGACTGTGTTGCTGGTATGGAAACACTTTGAGTGGGGGATGGACTACACAACCTACATTCTTCAATGAATCAAGGCAACAACATCCACATGGTGTGAATGAATTAGTATCTGGAGATCCCACTACTGGATTTCTACTTCCCCAGCAATCCGAACAAGCCTAAAAACTTGTCCATACGAGGCAAGCACAATAGCCCTTCTGCTACTGGGGGCAGGTAGAGTGCAGTGAGAGGCCTTAATGAAGTTCTGTACTTTCCAGCATCTGTCTCTCCTAGACCATCCATATCCACAGTTACTGCAGTATGTTTGTTTCATATCGGCAAAGACAACAAAAGAGAGTATCCAGGCATACTGCAGCTCAGCAATCCTCATAATTATGATTTGAGCACAAAAAAAAAAGGGGGGCTGGACTTGAAAATGCTGTTAGCCCACACCTTTTCCAGCGTAGTTGCCAGCTCTGTAAGTGAATAGGATGTACCTCACAGTATATCACACCACTGACATAGAAAGAAAGGGCTTTAGAGCAGTTTATAAGCATGCAGTGGTGGTAATAGCCTGATGGTGTTAAGGCTTACGACAGTGAAGTAACAACTGGGTTCTTATTGGTATTCATGCCTGTTGCAGAGGCAGCACAGTTGGTATCCTGTGTCAGAATAGAAACGTTCCAGGTTTCAGATATATGTGATAGAAACAGCTTCAGTCTAAGATGTTTTTATTTCATGTATAGTAATAGTACCTGAATGGATGCCGATGGTCACTGCGAAAACTAAGTCTAGCTTCTGGCAGCCCACAGAACAGAATGACAGACTTAGAGTTTGTTCCTTGTTTTCTTCTGTATCGTGTTTGTGGTTTAGTGTAGTAGTGATCACATGGGCTTTTTGTTTCTCCTCATATATATCCATTTAACAGAAATCAAAAAGACATCCATATTTCAGTATCAGAACAATCAGGCTTCCTGAGTTTCCATCTCTCCCATTACTGGGAGTGACAGTGAGCAGAATTCAGAGGTCTGTACCACTTCAGCTGGGGGCCCCCTGGTGGTCTAGTGGTTAGGATGCAGCACTCTCACTGCCACAGCCCGGGTTTGATTCCCGGTCAGGGAACTCCTCCAGGCAGATGGAGCTCGTTAGCCCTGTAAGGCCATCCATCTAAGAGAAGGTCACTCTAAACAAACCTACATCCTGAGGACCTCACTGCCACTGTCCAAGCTCACTCGGCCCCGGCAGATGAACCTCAGGATTAAAGGGTGGGCTCAGTTCAGCGCACGCTGTGTCTCACCTAAAAAATCCACTGCGCAAAGGGTAAACACCTTTCCCAAATCTTCGCTCGCGAAGACTGGCCATGATGATGACCACTTCAGCTAAATACCCAACAAGGCATAGTAGTAATTCAGAAAAACATCCCAACTCTAGAGGATGCAGACACAAACGTGGTATGCCTGCATTTAAACAAGGAGGATAGAACCTGTCAGCAAGACCTTGGAACAGAAATTAGGCACGCAGTAAAGGTGCAGAAATGTAAATCTGTTGACCTGGGGGTTGAGAGAAAGTGCAGAAAGCAATCTGGTAGAGCAGTTGGAGAACGGCAGAAATAATACACAGCATAGCTACAGTCACAGAAAGAGCAAAAGGCAGTAAACTTATGCAAAGGTAATACAATAAAACAAAAAAAGCAATATTAATGTCTTATCTAACAGAAGGAAAAACTAAACAGTATTTTTTGTCCTGTATTCTATACAAATAAATTACCCAATACAGTTGGAAGGGTTTCCATTTTGTACCTAAAAAGGTTAATACTGTGCAAACCTTCCCAATTTCAAAATGAAATCTCAGGCAGATCTCCCATCAGTTGTAGTCAGAAAGATGCTGTCATCTTGTACTTTATTGTCTTCAAAAAAAAAAAAGTTCAGCAGGCAAGACCATACACCCTTTCAGACAGGTACGGATCCAACTAATGTCCTCTTTCTGTTCAACACTGCTGTATTTTAAACATTTATATGGTTTCACAAGGTAACTTTAAAACATTTGCTGGAAGTTATTAACTTCTAATGTACAGAACAGGATGTTACACTAAAAAAAGCTAATTTCTTGTACATATTTATTACATTACCAAATTCATCTATCTGGAAAATTTTTCCATGCGAAAGATTTTTTTTTTTTGGTACCTTTAAATATAGAGTATGCATTTGGACTGTAAATCGCACATGGTTATATTCCCCAGCTAAACAACTAAAGAGATATGAGCATAAGCATATTTATTAAAATACTTAACAAGAATTCTGTATTCTCAGAATGTATGACTTATTAGTGGGCCTCACTGTCACATAATTCAGACCAGACACATGAGAGTTTAAAATAAAACCAAAAATCAAAACCCGCAAATACATACCTTGTACACTCTAAAATTCCATGACAATGTATAGGTTTACTTCACTAATACAAACCAGGAAATTTACTTGATAGCCAGACTTATTACACACTTGTTAGTTAGAAAGCTTCTTAAGACTTCTTGGTGTCAAGAGTCTTGACACACCACATACCAAACAGGTACCTCACAGTGCAAGTGTTTTTTCTATTCTTCCCTTAGATGCAATCTGTTTTTCTGTTTTTGTTAATTGTACTGATAATAAAATTAATATATACTTCTAAAATTAGATACTTACAGTGAAAATACCCATTAGCTGAGTGTAAAAGAGTCGACTTATTCCACCTAATATTATTAGACCCATGAAGGCAGATATTCTTAGGAGAGCAAGTTCATGTCTAAATACAAAAACATCCTAGAACAAGACACAAAGAAAAGAGACTTTAGCAGTTACAAATTAATTAAAGTCTTTGAACCAAGTGGAAATACTAGACAAGAAAAGTGTGTTCTCACTAAAGGTAAATACTGGATTTTGAGCTACACTGCAAATCATTGATATAATTATGTATTAAAAGTAGAAAACAATAATTTTTTGTTTATACATGTAAGCAGTTGAGTTTTATTTTGCCAGACTGTTAAAAAAAACTTCTTCAAATATTTAAGGTTTCGTGAATAGATCAAGCTCAAGTGGACTATTCCTGAATCTTCCATTTCAAACTGTGACAGATCGCTATACACAAGCTACCTAACCTAGGAAAACCATTCTGTTAAACAAACACTCTGATTTATTAAGACTCCTATGCCTCAGCTACCAGCCATAGTACATTTCATTTTTACATCACTTCTTTCGTAATTAAAAAACCAGCATTCCGAGCTTTACTCTTGAAGATGGTACCTACAAAATCCAAGTATCTGTACTGAGTTGTTCTCACTGCAATGCTGCCTATTATCCAACATAAATTTATCTTCACCTTTTAAATTTTGGCCTTGAGTGCATTACTGTAACTCTGGATAGGAGTGCACAATAAAGATGCTTCAGGGTACAGGAAAATAGGGATATATTGGATCAGCTGCTCTGGAAAGGATAAAACACCTTATTTTTATCACAGGAAAACATTTGCGCGTGGCAGTTACATTAGGTGTACCGTGAGCTCATCTCACCCTTGGATAACGGGTTCACACACCCATTCTCTTATTTGTAAGTTACAATTACATTTTCAAGGCTGTCTTTTGAGTACACACATCTGTTTTTCCACTTAGAAAAGCGTGATCACAGCAGGAAACTATTAAAACCTTTCAAGTAAACTTTAAATTACAAGCAGAACATAAAAGTAAACTGAATGAAAAAAAAAACAAAACAACCCACAACACTGCTTTTGAATTTTCCTTATTTATATTCAACCAGTAGGAATTGAGGAGGAGCAATTCTTAGACACTGGCATTTTTAAAATGGAAAATTGTTAAGGCAAATTATGTTTAGCAAAACAAATCTGATTTTTCATTTAAATTATTTCCATGAAGGTTCAAAATATAAACCCAGGGAAAACAGTTATACTGCCTACTAAAGCTGTGAAGAAAGTAAAAATTTGATGAACACATAGAAATCACTAGTTAACCAGCTAAAACAAAAAGCAATCCCCAATAGTCTCTTCTGAACTGCTGCAACGGTGCATCCCCTCTCCCCCCGCCTTGTTAATATTGGCCTTTCTTGCTGTTGTAGAAAATATATTCTTTGCTTTCATATTTTTAGCCCTTCTTACTCAGTTAATGAGCTAATTAAAAGTTAAATCAACTTAAAATAAAAGCAGTCATACTAATCTGATTTCCCTTTGCCTTAGCCCATAAAAGCTTTAAAGAAAAGTAAGGTAATACACAGCTTCTACTAGTTGTTCATACCTTCATAGCTGTTTTATCATATCAGATATGTTTTGAAATATTCAAACTCAACTTCACAGAAAACACTGAAATGTAAGAGAAGAGTGCCAACAACAAAGTTACATTCTGGATCTGGCATCACACTCCCACATTAGCACCCCCTGCAACTCTGATTTAGAAGAATTCCTTCTCTTGAGCATCACCTTCAGCATGAAAAAGGTACCTCACCCAATACATGACAACAGAAAATCCTAGTGTTAAGAAGAGAGGTTACATTCTCATCTGACCCTTCTAACAAACGATAAACCTAGAGGCACAGAAAAGGAAAGACCTTTCATACTGAGGATAACAAAATCATAGATTCACAGAATGGCCTGGGTTGAAAGGGATCTTAAAGATCAGCTAGTCCCAACACCCCTGCTGTGAGCAGAACACTTTTCACTAGAGCAGGTTGCTCAGAGCTCCATCAAACCTAATTTAAACAGTGCCAGGGATGGGCATCCACAAATTCCCTTGGCAAGGTGCTTCAGTGCGTCCTTATCCTCTGAGTAAAGAATTTCTTCCTAATACCCAATCTCAACCTACTCTCTTTCAGTTTGAACCCATTCCCTCTTGTTGTGCCACTCCACCTCTTGTAAATAGTCCCTCTCCATCTTTCTTGTAGGTTTCATTCAGGTAATGGAAGGCTCCAAGTAGATCACCCCAAAGCCTTCTCTTTTCCAGGCTGAACAAACCCAGTTCACAGAATCACAGAATTGCTATGATTGGAAGGGACCTCTGGAGTCGCACAGGAACATATCTAGAGACAGGTTTTGAACATTCCGGAGAGGGAAACTCCACAACCATCCTCTTGACACCTGCCTTTGATATATTTACCCCTTTCAGTCTTCTCTAAACAGGCCCAGCTCCCGCAGTCTCTTCTCATAAGAGAGAGGATGCCATGGGAGATAGTGTCAAAAGGTAGATAAGTCAAGGTAGACAATATCCACTGCTCTTGCCTTGTCATCCATCCTGCCATGCCACCACAGAAATCAAGCATGATTTCTCCTTGGTGCATCCCTGTTGACTACTCCTGATAACCTTCTTTTCTTTTACATACTTGGTGATGACCTCCAGAATGATCTGTTCCATCACCTTTCCAGGGTCCGAGGTTAGCCTGACTGGCTGCTAGTTTCCCAAATCCTTCTTCTTGCCTTTTTGAAGATCGGAGTAACACCAGCTTTTCTTCTGTCATCACGCACCTCTCCTTTCTCCATGACTTTTCAAAGATGATGCAGAGTGACTGAACAACAACATCTGCCAGCTCCCTCAGCACCCATGGGTGCATCCAATCAGGGCCCATGGATTTATGGGTGTTAAGTCTCCCTAGTTGATCTCTAACCCAACCTTTTACGACCAAAGGGGAGTATTCCTTTTTCTAGCCTTTCTCTCTTACAACCAAGGTCTGGGATTCCTAAGGGATGGCCTGAGCAGTAAAGACTGAAGCAAAGAAGGCACTCAGTAATTCTACCTTCTCTGTGTCTTCCATCACCAGGACACCCATCTGATTCAGCAGCAGCCCCACACTTTCCTTAATCTTCCTTTTGCTGTTGACATACTTGCACAAGGCCTTCTTTTTGTCCTTGATATCCCCTGACAGACTCAATTCCAAGGGGCCTTGGCTTTCCTCATCACATCCCTGCGTACCCTGCCGATATTCCATATAGTCCTCCCATATGGTCTCTTTTTCCACATCCCATAAATTTCTTTCTTCTGTTTTGAGATTTGCTAGAAGCTCTCTGCTCATCCATGCAGGTCTCCTGCCAGCTTGCTTTATTTCTTGCTCATAGGTATACATTTGTCTTGAGTTTGGAGGAAGTGCTGCTGAATATTGACCAGCTTTTTTTAACCCCTTTTTTTCTAGAGCTCTATCCTGTGGGACTCCTCTAAACAGGTCTTTGAAGAGGTTGAAGATAGCTCTCTGGAAGCTCAGTGTTCTAGTCCTGCTTACTGCTTTGCTTCCTTCACGCAGGATCCTGAGTTCCACCATCTCAGGTGGAAGGCTGAAAGCAAGGCTGCCCCCAACCTTCACATCTTCAACCAGTCCCTCCTGGTTTGTTAGTGCAACGTTCAGCAACACACCTCTTCTCATTGGCTCTTCCACCACTTTCATCCAAAAGTTATCTTCAATGATCTGTGGGAACTTCCTGGACTGTGTGTGCCGAGCCGTGTTGTCTCTCCAACAAATACCGGGGTGGTTGAAGTCCCCCAGGAGACCAAAGGCTTGTGACCATGAAGCTATCCCATAGAAAGTCTCATCAACTTCCTCCTCCTGATCAGGTGGCCTGTAGTAAACACCAACAACAGTGTCACCCATATTAGCCTGTCCCTTAATTCTTATCCATAAGCTCTCAACTCATTTGTCTCTCCCTGGGTAGAGCTCAATACATTCCAGGTAGAGCTCAATACATTCCAGGTAGAGCTCAATACATTCCAGTTGCTCTCTCACATGAAGAGCAACTCTACCACTTCACCTCACTGACCTGCCCTTTTCTTTTGATGCAGCCCAGCACACAGCTGACTTTCTGGGCTACAAGTGCACATTACCAGCTCATGTACAGCCTCTCATCCAACAGCACCCGCAAGACCTTCTCAATAAAGATGCTCTCAGTCTATTCATCCCCCAGCCTGGCACCCCAACCCAGGTGCAGCACCTTGCACTTGGTCTTATTAAACCTCGTGAGATTCCTATAGGCCCACTTCTCAAGCTTGCCCATGTCCCTCTGGATGGCACCCCATCCTTCAGGTGTGTTAACAGCACCACTCAGCTTGGTGTCATCTGCAAATCGGCCAAGAGTGCACTCAACCCTTTCATCTATGTCATCAGTGATGATATTAACACTGGTCCACTACAGCCCCCTGAGGGACACCACTTGTCACTGATGCCCATCAGGACTCTGAGTCACTGAACCATTACCCTCTGGATGCAACTGTCCAACCACTTTCTTACCCGTCTAACAGTCCACTCATGAAATCCATATCTCTCCAATTCAGAGCAAAGGATATGGTGGGGGACTGTAGGGGGCGTGTTTAAGGTACAGGGGATGTACCAAGGCAAGAGCCCAAGGGAGCATGCACCAACATAGACAACCTTATTGGTCAAAGAAGTCACATGGTTTTAAGGGATAAAACCAGCGCCGAATTTGAAATAAAATCTCTTTGTTCACCACCTCACGAGGAGCGTGTTTTTCCTTATTATATAAGGACATGTGCACCCTACAGGGGACTGTGGCAAAGGCTTTACAGAAGCTCAAATAAATGACATCTGTAGCCCTTCTCTTGTCCACTGATGTAGTCGCTCCATCACAGAAGGCCACTAGTGTCAGGCAGGGTTTGCCTTTAGTGAAGCCATGCTGGCTGTCCCAAATCATTCCCTGTCCTCCCTGTGCCTTAGATGAAAGATCCCTAATTCCCTTCTTTCCCTTCTCCCTTTCTTCCCTCTTTTCTCCTCGATGAAAGCATCTACTGCAAAAGACTGGAGATTGCTGAATTCCTAGTGAGAAGAGGTGACAGGACCAATGTTTTTTCCAACCATTATAAAACCCTAGTAAATCAAAGTCCCTGAGGCAATGATGACCTGAAAGTCAATGTCTGGCCCTCACTTAGTTCCTTCTTAGAACTGACAAAAACATTTTTCATCTAAGAAAACCAATCAAACTATAACTGATCAATCTGCAAGACTAGTCAATAATTTACTAATCCCTCTTTCAATGTATTTTGAACAGATCCTCCTGTTCAAACACCATTTAGGATTCATCAGTCTCAGTGCAGTTTGAGTACTGAGTGTGATTTTGAAGTCTGGGGTGCAGGCTATCTGCGCTAACAGGAAGAACTACTCAGACTGAGCCACAAAGCATATGCACAGATTAGCTGACATCACCAATGCACAAACTATCAGCTCTCGTGGCAAAACAGGGTTTTGTCCCACAGTAGCTTTTTTCTACATTGGGCCAGGCTGACATATGTGGCCTTGGCACAGATATTAAATGCACAGTTCTAACATGAGAGCTGCCCTTCAGGTACCCCTTTCTCCTCTCCTTTATGCCAACTCCACAGCCTAACTGCTCTGTCAAAACTTCAGTTCCCACGGGTTGCTGCCACTGCCTTTCTACTTAGCATTTGCTACGCCACTCAGACGTCCACTCCTCCTAGGCTGCTGCCTGTTCTCCAGGTTTTTAAGTTCCGTTTAGCTGCTACTTCTATCCATCCAGTCAAACTGCAAGGATTCTTAGCTACCCATAAAAATGGATTGAAATGTGTATGATAGAAACTTGTCACAAAACACATGTAGGTCTATAGGATTATATTGAGGAATGGACTACAAACCATGAGGTCTAGCATCTTTATCTTAACAAGCAATACCAAAACACTCTACAGACACCAAGTCTCTGTGACAGACTAACACAAGCCTTCCTCAACCCCACAGCAGAACACATGCCAAGTCTTCATTTGTGAGCATTAACCACTATGGATGATCCCTATGACAATCGCTACCACTGACTAGAACAACAGCTATTACTGCCTTATGCTATCATACAGGAGAGAGGTCAAAAACAATGATGGGTCTAGCTCAAGATCATACTCAACTATATGATCAGTGCTTCCAAATTCAGCTTTCTTCTTTATCCTGCTAACAATTACAGTAACAACAAAAAAGCACAAAAGCGTGTAACAGGTCCCTGCCATTTGCAGTATTGCACTGGTATTTTCAAGCATTTATAGTATTCCTTTAGAAACAGCACACTGTACTGAGGACAGAGCTTTCAGTAGGAAACACAAGACTATTGTATCTGTTCCAAAAGGGACAAAGTGAAAAAACCACCTTCATAATTTTTCAGTTACAATGGAAGATTCATTTATTCAATCTCTCTTCTTTAATGAAAAATGTATCACATAAAAATTAATATACCAACAAAATATATTAAGATACCTCTTGAGAAACAATACTTCATGTAATACTTCATGCTTGTCTATTCTCAGCTACAAATGCCCAGGATGTCTGTCCCAGTCTGGTGATGAAGTCAGTCTATCAACTTAGCTATCATAAAAAGAGCACAGAATATAGAACAAAGCCAGGTTGTCAGATTCCAGAAAGCAAACTAAAAAATATAGACTGCAGGTTTTGTAGGAAGAAAGAGGAAGGAGAGGTCCAAGGGGGAAAATTCATTCATGTCAATTAAAAAGAAAAGAAAATTAATTCACAGAACATGAGCTGCATTCTAATAAGCCCTTTTTTATTATTAATAACGACCAATGTTTATGTAAAGCCCTTTTTACTCTGGACTATTTCAGGTCTACTAGATGAGTAATTTTCCAGTCTGATTCATGACAGATTTGGTTTAAAGTGAAAATGGGAATAGTGCTCTGATTCCAAAAATTATTGTCTACATAGCGTTCAATATCACTGAATTATTTCAGTAATTCTGAAATAGTTTCAGACTAGAACAGATTTTTACAGAAGGCCATACAATCTTTACACAAAAATTATAGTACTAATATATTAAGTTTTAACAAAATGTTATCCTCTCAGTCTTTCCTATCTTTTCTCTACAGATCGTGTATTTACTTTCTAGACTTAATTCAATTTTCTTATACTGTTCTTACATTCATATACTGTAGGAGAGCATGGTTGGGTTGGCTGTGCAGAACAATGAGAAAGAAAATGTTGTTTTCTTTTTTTTAAAAAACTCTCAAATCCTGTACGCTCTTTCATTATTCTAAGACAAAAAGGTTTCTGTTAGATTCTCTTGACAACGTATATGGACTTTGGATGATACATATTTCCACATTTTAATTAACATTAGTTAATGCATAATATTGAAATAAATATTACTGCAAGAAATCTTTTCACAAAGTTTAATGACTAATTCCTAGAACTTATTATTACTGAGTCCCAGACACAGTAGGCTGATATGAATATATATCAGCCAGATATATATTCATATATATATATATGCCAGAATACATCCTCCATGTTCTTTTCTCTGCCCTCTACCAATAATGCTCAGAACACATTAAAGATTAGGTGACAATATTTTCAGAATATACAGTGGATAACTGAAGAAATGGGAAAAAAATAAAAGAGCAAAAGGGTTTAGTTTTTTGTATGTCAGGGGATTTTACTATGACAATCATTCTAGCAACATTTCTAGCAAATAGAATGCATCAGCAGAATTTCTTTCACTTAAAAGACTAAAAGCCTTCTATAAACCAGGTAAAATATACTGCTAAAGCATTTAATTTTCTTCTATTTGACCAGCTGTGTCTAGAATCTGTGCCAGCACAGCCATTGAGAAAGCAACTATTTAGTTATGAGAAGACTAGTATTTATTTTTATCTGGCTATTCATTGAGTACTTCCTGAAAGATAAGGTCAGGCTTCCTGACTTCGATATTTTATAATGAAGATGCAAAATTAAAAATGTTCCAGTGTCAGCCTCTGAAAACCACCAAGGCCTGCAGAGGAACTAATATGCTATTTTATTTGAATTATATATTTTCCTTCTGCTATGATCCCACATAGACAATTTAATTACCACCTCCTTCATTTCTAGCAGTAATTGCACTCCTCCTGCTGGACAAACAGAGGCAACAACCACAATCCATCTTTCTGGCAGTGTATCAATAACAAGAGCAAAGAATACTATGAAACAATTTTCTGCAGTAAGAGGTGAAGCTAAAAGATTGAATCTCTATAGAAACAGCTTCCTCCATTACCTTTAATCCTATCACCCTTTCCTCAGTATACTTAAATTAAAAATGTTTTTCTTTCTTGACCCTTTAAAAATAAAACACAAGATTTAATTCAGAGGAAGTACTAACATGGTGATCACATTTTCATAATGCATTAATCGGTACTGTAATAAAATTACTATTTCACAACAGCATTAAAAGCTATTTTAATTCTCCAGCTTCTGTGTTATGTACTATTTTATATCCAAAGAATAAAAAATAAGATGAGGGCACACTGCCAAAAAACTCTCAAGTATTTTTAATGAGCAAGAATAAGCTTATTCCAGATGGCTGTTTATAAAAAAAATTATTCAGTTCTTTGAATCTGTGCTAAACACTAGCCCCTGTCAATTCAGAAAATGTAAGCTCTTCGTTACAGCCAAAATTTCAACAAAGAACAGCACTTCTGTGAAACAGTCTCTGGAATGCTGTGCTACTTCAGCTTTAATTGATACATACAGATGAAAAGAATCTTGCAGGATGCTTGCCTAAAAACTTAACTAATAGTATGCCAATTTTATCACTGGTCCCATTCATTTGATGTCAAAACGACACAGTTCTGACAAATTATTTTGTAGCATGAAGTTATATGGCACCACATCCTCAGCAATACTTTAAAAAATCAGCTCCTTAGGGCTCTGATGTCACCTTCCAGGCAGATATATTGACTAGGCACAAAAACAAATTATTCTTAATTTTCTGTACTTCAGTGTATACCCCCCCTAATCCTGCAGTTGAAAAATTGAGAAAGCTAAATACTATTCAGTGTAACACTGTACTTCACAAAGGTCTGAACAGATCAGACCTGGTTTGTCTACTGTTCTTCTATATTGTGCAAATATATTTATCTCTCTGGGGCACAGAATAGTGTATACTATAACACAGATCAAGTTTTTAAAAGGAAGAGTGTAATTTGAAGTGTCATGTGCAAATTGATAAAGCCAAAAACCCCACAGCTAAAACTAAGCAAAAATAAACAGAACAGAGTGAGTACTCAATTTCTTTCATGACTCTGTAAACTTAGGCAGCCAAACACAGGAACCTGATCCACTCTTCAGGCAAGCATATTAAAATGGACTAAAATAATTGCTGTATATGTACTCTACCTCCTAACATGTCACCTGTCAAAGGGTACATATTAAAAGTAGGCTTCTCACCAAAAGAGAGAACAAGTATCAGTGAGAAAAAGTTTTATACATACTCATTTTTTGAACTGTCATCATTAAGAACTACTTATTTTTAACTCCTTAGG